CTGCTCCGACTCCTGAGACACCTACACCACCACCAGATTCCTCTCAAGGTGATTCCATTCCTCTTCCTACTCATCTCACACCAATAACTGTACGGAGGACTACTCGCAGTAATACGGGAAATCCTCCCGATAGATATGGTTGGGATCTTGCTCAGTTTGTATCATATTCTAACATCCACCCTGCACATGGAGCATTCATTGCATCACTGGACTCTGTTACTATACCTAACAATTAGCAGGTTGCAAAGAAGGACCAGAAATGAAAAGCTGTTATGCACGAAGAGCTAAAGGCCCTTGAGAAGAACCGCACCTGGGAGTTAGTAAAACTATCAAAAGGGAAGAGAGCAGTTAGATGCAAGTGGGTCTTCACTATGAAGCAGAATCCAGATGGACAGGTTGAGCGCTACAAAGCTCGTCTGGTGACAAAAGGATATAGTCAGACATATGACATCGACTACGATGAGACTTTTGCACCGGTGGCAAAGATGAGCACTATTCGGACCTTAATCTCTCTGGCAGTAAATGGTGGATGGAAGCTACACCAACTAGATGTGAAAAACGTATTTCTTCATGGAGATCTAGTGGAGGAGGTATACATGGAGATACCACCAGGATTCGGTACAGATCATACAGTGGGAAAGGTCTGCAGATTGAAGAAGTCTCTCTATGGGCTAAAACAGTCTCCTCGTGCTTGGTTTGATAGATTCAGGAGGGCTATGATTGGTATGGGGTACCAGCAGATCAGCGCCGACCATACCGTGTTCTTTCGAAGAAGTGGAGGTCACATCACCTTGCTTACAGTATATGTGGATGATATGATTATTACAGGGGATGATGAGAAGGAGATTGCCCAACTCAAAGTGAGATTGGGTAAGAAATTCGAGGTGAAAGATCTTGGCTTGCTTCGATACTTTCTTGGAATAGAGATAGCTCGAGGAGCGGAGGGGATCGTCCTGTCCCAGAGAAAGTATGCACTGGATCTTCTCAAAGAAACAGGAATGTTAGGATGCAAACCTGCAACTACACCGATCGACCAGAAGTTTAAGCTGGGTGCTGAAGCTGGAGAACCAGTTGATCGTGACAGATACCAAAGGCTGGTGGGCAGGTTGATCTATCTGTGTCACACACGTCCCGATATCTCTTTTGCAGTGAGCGTGGTGAGTCGCTACATGCATGATCCAAGGAAGGATCATATGGACGCAGTGTACCAGATTCTAAGGTATTTGAAAAATACCCCCGGAAAAGGGCTAATCTTCAGGAAGAATGAACACATGAGCATTGAGGGCTATTGTGACTCTGATTGGGCTAGCTGTGCTGATGACAGGAGGTCCACCTCAGGATACTGCATCTTTATAGGAGGCAACTTAGTCTCGTGGAAGAGCAAGAAGCAGTCGGTGGTGGCGAGATCGACAGCTGAGGCAGAGTATAGAGCTATGACCTTAGGAGTTGCTGAGTTGCTATGGTTGAAGAGTATGCTGGTGGAGCTGAAACTGAATCAAGGAGCTAAGATGAAGTTGTGTGATAACAAGTCAGCCATCAGTATCGCCAACAACCCAGTGCAGCATGATAGAACCAAACACATCGAGATCGATAGGTTCTTCATCAAAGAGAAGTTAGATAGTGGACTACTGGAGCTAAGTCATGTTTCGACTAAGGACCAGGCAGCAGATTGTCTGACTAAAGGACTTAGCTCAGTAGATATGATTAGAGGATGTGACAAGATGGTCTTAGTAGATATCTTTCGCCCATCATGAGGAGTGTTGACATATTAGTATTAGTTAGGGACTTATTTGTAAGTTGTGTAGGGGCCTATATAAAACCCAAGAGATCTCATAATGAATTAGGTTTTCTATTTCAACTATTGCCGACTCTCCTCCGATTGTTTTTTAATGAGTTATGATCCCTCACCGCTAAGGTCTTACAATACGATTCTGAAAAGTTATCGACGACTGAAAAATTTATCGTCTCCCCCTTCCAAATCACGTTCAGATTCAAGCACCCACCAAAATTTACAGTATTGAGAATCTCGTGTTTTCCCATCGGATCTGGGTTGGCGCTGAAAGCAACACATTCGAGAGCCATCTACTTTCGGATTGGAGCCCACACCCCAACCCTCATCATTTGGTATCAGAGCCGAAAGATCCACAATTATCAGGGTTAAAATATCGCTACCTCCTTTACAAGAGTATGATTTTAATCCACTTAAATTTGATACCCTAGCCTACTTTTACGGATTTGATGGATATGATGAGCCTTATGAATTTTGACATTTGAATTTTCAATATAGAAGATATATTTTGTCTATAGTATGTCAGAACTGGAAATGTTTTTGTATGTTGATTATAGGCTAAAGAGAGGCAAAATATTGGTGATATAGAAACTATTATCATTCAAATATCCATTCATGGACAACTATGAAAGCTCTTTTGGATAGGAGGTGCTCTAGTCCGTCATCTAGAAGATATCATTCCTCTTCATATTCTGAAGTAAAAGCCAACACAAATTCCTCAACCCCGGCCAGATGTGAATCTTCAATCAAGATTTAATTTCAATCCATATCTGAAGCCTCAATTTGAGTCAGACGAGAAAGCAGAGCAAGAGCAAAAATTTGATCAAGAACCAAAGCCCGAGTCTGAGCGTGAGCTAGAATCAGATGTAGATCAAAAGATCAATGTAGAATGCGAGCCTAAACTACAGCCAGAAGAAGCAAATCAAAAGATAGATCCAAAGCCTAGGCTTAAATAAGAGTTGAAACCAAAAACAAAGCAACAGGTCGATTTAACGCATGAGCTTGGATCAAACCCTGAGCTCAAGTCAAGCCTAGAATCCGAACGTAAGGTCGATATCCAGAGCAAATTTCAAGATAATCTGGTTATTAAGGTCGTAATTTCAAACCCTTCACCACTAACTCAATATCGGAGTTTATAGCTTATCTTGAAAATTTTGCAATCTACAACAAAATTCTTCTCACCAATCAAGTCAAATATTACGTTCTCCTATTATAAAACTTGAGGTCGAATTTTCTCTAATAATAGGAGATTTGATGTAGGACAATCATGGGTCGTCCATAAGAAAATTTTAATTTTAGTAATATTTGGTTTGATCTCATGTAATCTTTTTTAGTTAGGATTTCTTTAGGATTTGATTAAGAAATCTTTCTATTTTAGCTAGAATTTTATTGCTTGCAGCTTTTAGTTTTGTTAGTTTCGATTTGATTTAGATTTTTATTTACTTCCATATGTGTTTAGTTGTTTTCTTTTCTTATAAATAAGAAATATAATCCTTCATGAGGAATAGACATTGATGAATAAAAAATTTGAATGAGAATTCTCTCTTGAGCATGTGAGGTGTTCTTTGCCACGTGGTTTGCCTTTTTTTCTTTAGGGTGTGAAACCCCTAGGTGTGAGGCCTAGTTATTTATCTAAAATTTCTTCACTTTTAATCTTAACCATCCAATATAAACCACAAATCCAAAAAAAAGAAAAATTACTATTTACAGATGAACATCACCCACCGCAGCCTTAAGATCCAATAGGAAAGCACGAGAATCTCAATATTGTGAAATTTGGTAGGTGCTCGAATCTGAACGTGATTTGGCAGGGGAGATAGTAAATTTTTTAGTCGATAATTTTCCAAAGCCGTGTTATAAGACATTGGCAGCAATGGATCATAACTCATTAAGGGACGATCGGAGGAGGTTCGATAATGGCGAAACTCAAGCGGGGGTCGTCACTAGGGTAAGCAATCGGATTCAAAGAATTGTGGCATCATCGGAGGCGAATGACGTCGGGTCTCGAGGCTACAGCGAATAGTGTTCATCCACGAACAATAACTTTTTATTTTATTTTATTTTTTTGATTTTGTGGTTGAGATCGGATGACTAGGATTGAAAGTGGAGAAAGTTTAGATAAATAACTAGGCCTCACACCTAGGAACATCACTCCCAAGGGCTTTATACCTTAAAGGAAAAAGGCAAATCACATGTCAAAGAGCACCTCACATGCTCAAGATAGAATTCTCAAACTCAACTTCTTTTATTCATCAATGTCTATTCCTCATGGAGGATTACGTTTCTTATTTATAAGAAAAAAAAAGCAAATAAACACGTAAGTAAATAAAAGTCTTAATCAAATCAAAACTAACAAAACTAAAAGATGCAATCAAATAAAATCCTAGCTAAAATAGAAAGAGATTTCAAAATCAAATCCTAAAGAAATCCTAATTAAAAAAAGATTACATGGGATCAAATCAAATATTGCTAAAATTAAAATTATAATCTTCTGATGGACGACCAATGATTGTCCTGCATCAAATCTCTTAACTAAAAAAAATTTCACCATTCGCCTCTGATGACGCCACAATCCTTCGAATCCAATTGCTTACCCCAACAACAACCCCTGCTTGAGTATCGCCATCGCCGAATCTCCTCCGATCGTCCTCGCCACCAATGTCTTACAACACGGCTCCGGAAAGTTATCGATGACTAAAAAATCTATCATCTCCCCCTTCCAGATCACGTTCACATTCGAGCACCCACCAAATTCACATTATCGAGAATCTCGTGCTTTCCCATCGGATCCGGGTTAGCGCCAAAGGCAACACATTAGGAAGCCATCTACTTTCGGATCGAAACCCTCGCCCCGACCCCCATCAGTACTACTTGATCAGACTTCATGCATAATCCAACAAATAATAAGCTAAGTACCCTAGCTTATTTTTTCGTAGATTATAAGCCAACACTTACCAAGCATCTCAAAGTGGCTTATAAGCCACTTTGACCATTTGCCAAACATGTGCTAACATGGTTATGGATTAATGATTGAAGTGTCCTTGCTACAAAGAGATTCTTCGCAAACAAGATATCCACATCATCATGTAGAACTTTTGGCAAAATAAGTTCCCCTTCACATATCAGGGCAATAACATCTGAATCGCAAATGACATTAAATAATTTTGTTGTTAATACAAATTCATAGGAAATTAAAGATTCATGCACTAACCTCTGCAAAACAGGAATGACATTTTCTGGATACCAATTAGCGGAAGCATGAACAGGTGCAGTTTTAATTCTCGTAGCTCGGATGGCAACAGCATAATACTCTCTTGTGCTCCATGAGTATTCATCAGGCAAGGTCCTAACTATCGAGATCTCATCTTTCAAGACATTGATAAAGTGATCCACATCATAAATCTCTTCAAATGAACTGCAAAGAATAAATATAGATTTTTGTCAAAATCTCTGATATTCTACCATGTGGATGCATTTTTGGATAAACAAATAGGGCAATGTAGTAATAAAGCTACCTGGAGTCTTGCCAAACAGGATTTACTTCAAGGTGAGGGATCACAAGAGTCGCATTCAAAATTTTTGCGACCGCAACTGCATCACATATCTGAATAGTAGAGTAGCCCGTATCAATAATTTAACTCGGGTGAAATGAAAGCATCAAAGTAAAATATTTAGCAAGTAGTCTGTGAATAAATGAACTACCCCCATCCTCTGCTGATTCAACCCTCCATCTAGAAATACTTGGATGTATCCAGTTGATTTTTCCGGGAGTGCTATTTACAAGGGATAAAATGATACTGTTAGCTGGAAAAAAAAACTGATCCCCTTTCTAAATATGGTACAATACGTTAATAGAGGAAAAAATTCCTTTGCATCAGGAGGTTTAGATGAATAGAAACTTTTGCTACTTGAATGCACGTACCACCACTGTTTGCATCTGCATTGCATGGTTTCCATCCTTGGTGTGGCAAGGGCGACCAAAGCTCAGATTTCTGTTCATCCGACTAGAGGAAAGAAACAAAAGAAAACCATTAATAAGAAGCTGAAAGAAATATGGACACAAAGCATAAAGATTAATATTGGAGAAATGGCTCTACTCACAATCCCACGTTGTAAAGCACCCTTCAGGAGAGAGAGATGTCTTGGTTTGGGAGCATTCCACTCCTGCAGGAAACAATTTACTCTTTTTCAAACAATGACCAATAAGAGCAAGAATATAACGGAATATGAGACATATGCATAGGAAGACATACTTGAAGATATCGAAACATTGACAGTTAAAAAAAATTGCTTATGTTAGTTATTCAATCTACAATATTGATTCCACGCTCAGATTCTAAACCAATGAGCTCATGTAATAGTGGCAAAAATATTAAGTCAAAGTATTTGGCGAAAAAAAAATTAGATAGAAAGTAGTGTCCTATGCTATGCATTAAGATCATCAAACCAATGCCAGACACATTCAACAATGAATTTACCACATATGGAGAAGTTTTCTCCTATTATATTGAAAGTTGTAGAGTAAGATTTACGGACATGTTGGGCTATGTGGCATTTTTCAGATGTGCGCTCCACACATCCTTGAGGACTCATGCCAAGTGCCATTTTGATTCATGACGCGCTTACAAATTAGTGTGCATCTCCCGCGATAAACCTCTAGCACTATATTTTTCTGTGTCTTATGGTCTGTTAGCAATTTGCCCTAGATTCTTTTGCCTTTGATTTTTTACTAATATTTGCGACATACACTCAGAATAACAAATTACAAAAGTCCCAACTCCTCACTAATTCATTTTTTACTAATATTTGCGACATACACTCAGAATAACAAATTACAAAAGTCCCAACTCCTCACTAATTCTTTTCCATGTACTCTTTATATACACTCAGAATAACAAATTACAAAAGTCCCAACTCCTCACTAATTCTTTTCCATGTACTCTTTATACCAGTTTAACAGAATAAATTCAGTGGTTAAGCTTGGAGAGCCTGGCATTTAAGGAAGCAATGTCATCAGATAATTTCAAGAACTCTTCAATCTATCATAGCAAGTTGAATGAATCTACTACTTCTGCGTCACGCACCAGCTGGGAGTCCATGATTTCAATTTCGACGTCCATCCAGCCTCATAAGGGTGACATATGATGTACTTACCACTGAGCAAAATCTCCAACACTTGTGATAAGCTGCGGAAATAACAAATGCGTGAGGCCCTGTACCCGTACCAAATCAGATGTCTCCAAACTCCAAAGAGGGGAACGTCAAAAGGATCAAGCTTCCTTCTTTTTTTGGGTAATATAGTGTCCATGTATGAAATACGCTCCTAAAGTAATCGCATTGTGAGCATGTGAAAGTAATCAGTTTACCGCCCTACAAAATTAATTGTGCTCTTTCATACGCACCTGTTTGGAATGGAGTTTGATATTGATCGAACCTGAGACCATTTCCCCCAATGTTATGCGCATCACGGACCC